GGATATATAGCAACATCATGGTTAGCTAGAGCCACATTTTAAAGACCCTCCTTCATTGATTCAATATATATTTGTTCTTGGCAGCATTGATCTTCATATCCTCATGATAAGTGTACATTTAACACCACACATAGATTTTCTTTGTGCTTTCAGCAAGGGAAACACATTCGCTACACAACATACCATATGCCAGTTTTTGTGTATGAAATACTAATTATAAAATAATCCATACACCTTCTATCACACGGAACCATTGTAATCAATACAGCAGCTGTGCAATTACAAAGTCATATATTCCAGTAGTGGTCTACATGCAGTAAGAAACCTTAACAGCAAACCACAGGGGTAAAATTTCATGAAATTGACAAAGCAAGTCGTTTGATCCATATCAGTTACTTTCAAATGATCTTCTTATTCTAATGTAAAAGTAGAAAACGCTGAGAAAATAAAAAACTTTTGAAGTGCTGACATTCGTCTTTTAATCATGCTAATATATTCAAAAATACCTACCTTGCCAACCAAACTACTATCTATACTTTGGGCTTTCCCAGATGACTTTAAAAAACCAAAAAATTAACTTGTAATGTGTAAATTATGTCCTTCTGTGTTAGGTTTCCTGAGAGCTTCAAATGTGACTGCCTCCTGTATGGTCAAGTACACATGCAAGTATTAAGCAGTGATCAATAAACTTACCATGAATGTAGAATTTTGAAGCCAGTGGGAAAGGGAATGACGTCAATACTGATCCAGAAAACAAATGGGATGCTCCTACACAAACGCATTCTAAAATTGCTATAGTAACCACACACATTCGATCCCATTTTTAGAACTTGGGTATTAAATGTTGCTGTACTCAGCATTAAATATAGTCTAAAATAAACAGTTCAACTTGGTAAAACTGATATTAAGTATGGTTTTGCCTAAAGTGCTTTGATTGCTGTTAACTTCCTGCTAAAAAGACCCCTTTCTTCTACTTCTTCTAATGGTAATGGACAAACTATTACTGTAGTGTGCAAACTTAAAATTTAAATTATATGCAGTATCTTTTTCATGCATTTAACTAACCTTATAAGTCATTCTTCTTTAGGACGAACTAAATGCACTTAAGTTTACAAGACTTCCAGTAATTGCTTTTTGGGTGGAAAATCAATAATATACATGTATAAGACTATCAAACAACCAACATCAGTTCTCATACCTTTCGATAAAAGTCCTTAGTTGCTTGTGTCTCCATTCTAGTCTTAAATAGCACACATACTATCAGGCCACCATGCATTTATTGCAAGCAATAAACACCAGCATCGTAGTAGTGTTCTGAAAAATCCTTCAATTAGTAACTGAGGAATCCAGTTCTCTTGCAATGCTGTTTTGAAGAAACTAGAAGCTTAACTGAGCTCATAGTTTAACTTTCACCAACCTGATGCATGTCAGTTACTGCATTTCAAGTAGCTCAGTGGTTGGTGAATGTGTAAGAATCTAAAGACTACAACTTTCCAACCAACATGTATGATTCATAAATATCTACAAATCAATAGAAAAACAGGTCAACGTAATTTGCATAAATAATTCAGACCCTGTAAGTGACCACAAAAAAAGGGTCATAGCACGTTCACAGCTTTATCAAATTAACGAGAAAATAAACCATAACATTTTTACCAGACACATACTTTGTAACAACAAAAACATTCTGAATTCAAGTAATGTATGCTATTTTAAGAAACAGAGAGATGCTGGTTCAAGGAGAATCTATTACCAGAGGGAGAAGCTTTTTAAATTTTTTTTTTACTCCTTTAGAGTCGATCAAATTTGAGAAATGGAGAAAGGGCTTAGAATCAAGAGCAAATTTTGTTACAGTATAGACCATTCAGGCCCAAAAAAGCTGCCCCCCCCCCACCCCCCCCACCCCCCCACACACGCCTGACTATTGATCTATACATTAGGGGTTTAAAATCTTTCCATTAGTTAATTATGGTAATCAACTGTACCAAGAACATGTAACTTCACATAATGGGGTCAAATTAATCATAATTTGGAGGCTATTGCTAATTTTGGCTTTTGTTCAATGGTCTGTTTGGAATATCTGATGGAATTCTACTCCATCTTAATGATATAAGATCATCAAAAAATAATCTGCACTGCTATGTATGGGGACATTCAGAATGAGAAGATCCGAGTGCTAAGTGGTCCACGGCCTTAATATGGCAGTCCTACATGAAAGGAAGACTGCTTAATCCTGTAATGGTCTCCCCACCCCTTTCACGCCTCCCCACGCGTCGTCCCTGCAGGGGCACAGTAAACCATCACAGAGAGACCATTAGAGCATTAAGCGGTCTTCCTTTCATGTAAGTCCACCATATTTAGGCCACGGACCAATTAGCACTCGGATCTTCTCAATCTGAATGGCCCCTATATCTTACCAAACCATCAACAATACAGTATGAAAGCAATACTTAATCTACTTTTTTATATTTTGCAACATAACCTACTAGCAGAACAGCAAAAAGATTTTTTCTCTTTCTGTCTCAAAACTTATATGTCACTGTTGTGTGTTTCAATATAGTACTTATATTTTAATCATAGGCTGGTTTGTCATGTGCCCTATGCTAATCACCACAAAATTATGGTCTACAGGAATGTATTGGCAAAATCTACAATGCGACAACACTGATTTTATTGACATTCTTGCAGGCTGTGACATGCACTACTTATGAAAGCTACATAATAATAATATAATCATCCTTATATATCCCCCCCTCCCCCCCCCCAAAAAAAAAAATTTGATGGGAAAAATGATAAGGCTATCAATTTGATCATTTGATGTTAATTAGCATCTCCTTATATAAAAAGGCCCATATTTTTAATATAAGACTTAAAAGCAGACCAAACTGCTGCTTCAATACTGGTTGTGATGTTTGACAATTACACTACTTTTTAAATTTGCAGGTATTAACATAGTATTTACATATTTAGCTCAAGGAAAATTTGGGATAAGAAGCCATTTAATAACGATAATAATGCACAACTGCTAACTTTGCGCACTACAATCCCAAAAGGCTGAAGTTAAGGCTTCTGATACACGTAGGTTGATCTTTTACTTCAAGGTCACCACTAGGAGCTTATAGGACAGATGTATATATTTAATTCCTTAACCTTTATGTAGTTACGACTTCTTACTTTTGAAATTGACATATTACAGTGAGTATGAACATGAAAAGTTGTCCACTTTTATAATCCTATCTGGTGTTTGAAAATGTTCTGAAATTCATGATATATATCTATTTAAAAAACTCCAGTGACATGCACTTTATGATATTTTGGTCTTTTGGCTAAAGATGGCAGTCCTACAATCCCTCCATAAGAAACCACTAGCAACTTCAAAAAGTTGACTGACCACTGAAGACCACTGAAACCACAGATACAAGCTAAGAGATGCACATGGAAAAGGTTATGTGAGATATATATGTAGCTAGTACATGTACATTGTACTGTACCAGTACATGTAATACTCAAGCATCTCCAATGTATTTCGAAGTTATTGTGTAGTAACATCAAATAAATTATAAATTATGAAAAATAATAACTATATGGAAAGTGGGATATACCTGTATCATCCCGTCTTGCCTCATGCTAGTCGTGTGTACTGCTACCACCTGTTTAAGATGGAGTTGCCAAAAACAAACGGAAGCAAAAATGTGGAGCGGTGCGGTCTTATGATAATATAACAGTTGATGCACTCTCTTGTGTCTATATATTCCACAAGTATTTCCGATGACAATATATTGTATAACTCGACTTCTACAGGAAACTAGCGAGATGACCGTCACGGCGACTCCGTTGATTTGATTGCAAATTACAGTCGATGCCGAATCGGCGAATGTACAAATCGCCTTGATGGAAAAAGCACATCATTTAAATGATTTTGATATTTTCTTCATTGTTCCTACGACATAAAAGAATACAAAGGACATGATGTATGCACGCATAAAAGTGAGATATTGCAAATATCATTCTTACCTTCGTTAACCTGTGCGCTCTATATTGATTTCACAGCAGATGATCAATAATGCGAAAAAATACCCGTATGTATAGTGGATGTGCTGCCTGCAATGTGTTAGGTGCCCCAAGATCTGCGCTTATTACAGTAGACCCTATGTGTTGTCCCCAAAGATATAATTAAAGGCTTATGTTTCAGACCAAATTTGAAATGAAGTAAGCCAAATTTAAGATAAAAATGCCCTTTGTAAATAGATAAATTGTAAATTTTATTAATATCTCTGCTTTTTTTTGGTATTCATTTAGTTACATTGTGAGGAGAATGTTGACAGCATCAAAAATTATTGCAGGCTTTAAGTGAAATAATTTTTTGACTAACCTATATTGCAAGTTGATCGTCAACTTTGCATGGACACGCATATTTGCAAACCTTTTTATTAGCTGTTGCAGGTACTTTAACAGGTCAGAAACCCACATCTCCAATGTATTTTTCACACATTTCCTGCATATCACTTTTGTCCTCACCCAAACACACAAATACAGTACCATACCTGCCAACATTCTTACAATCCAGCCCTATAGATTGGACTGGTAGCTTGAACCACACTTGTGTATCAATACGCACTTTGAAGTATCAGACGCAAAACCACTCTTGCCTAGTGCACAATGTGGAAGTAATGATTCTCAGTGGGGTTGGAAAGTAGTGCATCTCATCTCAAAATTTGTTCCGGGGTATGATACTGTGAAATGCATACTGACGCACATCTTGCAAACGGGCAGTGTGGTCCGATCTACCGGTGAATTTGGGATCATTCGGTGCCGCGTCTGACAAGAGGATACAATTATATCGCCCTTATCCCTTGCTGTCTGTCAACAGAGAGAAAAGAATATGGAATGCTGGCTCGAGATCAAAATACAGGTTAGTTGATGACCAATGTGTCTCCGTGGTTGGTGTTCACCAAATATAGGGATATTTAGGTGGAAAGCATTGTCACAAATCAATGAGAATGCCTATCAACCTAAGACTGCTTCATCACTACCGCAACTGGAAAAAGCCAGAGCAGAAAAAACAGGACGCTATGGTTAAAGACAACAACTTCTTCAGGTTTAAGGACAATATAATCAGTAGGATAGATGACAGGATAAAGAAAATAACATCACAAGGACAAACAGAATTTATCCAATGAATGTGAATAAAAAAACAACATTTTGCAGTTATTGCAAAAACTGTAAAAAACAGTAAGCTTGAAGATAATAAGTCGCACATTTTCAATGCATTAATTGTGTTCACAGTAAAAGTTCACAGATATGATGACAAAAGCAGGTGGTTATACATACAGACACAATGACACACACATTGGACTTAAGTATGTTACTCCTGTATATTGTTTATTCTTAATGCATTATAATATACAATGTCTATTTACCTTTTTTGTATTAATTAACTTACATTGTTAGGAGGATATTGACAGCATCAAAAATTATTACCCATGTTGTAAATGAAATAATTTTTGAATCATTTTAAACTGCAAGTTAACCTTCCACTCTGCATGGACATGCATCCTTTGCAAACAATTTTATTTGTAGGGTACTTTAACAAATCATAAACCCATATCACCAAATTACCTTTAACAAATTTTCTTGCATACCACTCTTGTCCTCACTCATACATATAAATACCATACCTGACAACATTCCTACAATCCACAGGGGCGGATCCAGAGCTATATACTGACAGTCTTCCAAATTATCTTTGTTAATTCATCCTCCAATTTTGACCATCTTCCAACATGAAAAATTGGATACCCGTCAATGTAAACTTGAAAATCTGACCGTCTTCTGGAAGACCCAGAAGACGGCCTAAATCCGCCCCTGATCCAGGACTGAGGGGTACACGTTATATAAATACAGGACTTCTGTTCTCATTCCAAAAGTGTTGGATATTATCCAGGACCAGTACAAAAGGATGTTATTTCTATTAGCTTATATTAT